ATAACATTTCCCACTGGAGTGAGCTGCAGTGTGGTTCCTCTGCCATAGTCCCCAGCCTGTGGAAAAAGCTTCCTCACTGGAAGTCAAGTTCAAGTTCTGCTCTGCCCCCAGGGTCTTTGAAATCCATCCATCACTCCATTCTGCTTCCCACCTCTAGGCTGCCTGAGGCCTTAGGAATTAGATCTCCATTCTTCTGCTGTAGCCCCCACAGTGCAGGCACCAGTGTTCCAGACGCTCATTCCATTCTGTGAAAGGGCAGAAAATGCTTCATATCTTCCCTTAGGCTTTAAATCACTTCTAGCTTCTGTATGAGACCTAACACAGATAGTTGTTAATTCCCTTTTCTTTAGAGCATAATGCCAAGAAAATAGTGTGTGCATGTTCCAGTGTTTCTAACGCTCTCCATTGGCTCTAGGTTGAATCTGTGGCTGTGGAGCCTAGGGGTAGAGGCACAGCTGCACTTTTCCTTTGCCCGGTCAGCAAAAAGCACATTGCCACCTGCTTGCCACCACATGAAGTATCAGGCAGAGTGAGTGTGGGGTGACCACTGGTACTGCCTGGCATCGTCAAGTGCAGGTTTGGAGAAGAATTCACATCTCTTGCTGTCAGATGTTAAGCATTTTAAAGTAGAAAACTGAACAGTTAAAACCAAAAGGCACACTGGCCAAATAGTTCAACAAGTGAAGGAGCTTGCCACCAGCCTGGTGACCTGAGTTCAGTCCCTGGTGCCCAGATGGTGCAAGGAGGGAACTGACTCCATACATGTGCCATGGCATGAGCACGCAAATACACATCCACACAAGGAATAAATAAGTAAATCACCAAAAGGCTTATCAGAGTTTAGTGTTTTAAGATGTCATTTGAAAGACTCAGTATGTGTGGACAGGCCAGCAGAGAAAGCAGAGGTCCATGCAGTGTGATCAGAGGGCTCCACGTGGCATGGTCAGTTAAGTTGCTCCTGGCAGTGTTTGGAGTGGAGAATTCCCAGTTCATCATTGGGAACCTACAGAGATCTGACCATTTGCAAACACAGGTGCTACCTGTTTGCTCACCCTTGACTTTCTCCACCCCTACCTTGTACTAAGAACTTCATGTCAGCAAGTAAACATTTTACAGGTTGTTTTAAACTGGAGTTCAGTGTTTTCTTTGCCCACAGAATCGTTTCATATAACCATCTTGCATGTATTTTCTCCATGTGATGTACACACATATGTGAACAACAGTAAATTATGATCCAAGTTTTAATGATTCTGTGGTCTTCTTACTGGGGCTGTCTACATGTTCTCCTTGAAGGACCAAATGCCTCCGGTACATGCCTAATGACATCACCACATGGCAGAATCCCAGTAAATTAATGTTACATGAATGAATGAAGATTTATAACCCTTTCTTTGAATGATGCCAGTCCAATAGGCAGAAAAGACACTTATGTCCATGTTTAATGCAGCAGGTTGCTTATTGGAAAGAGGCAACGCGTGATTTATTTATTTATTTTTAACTTTTTTTTTTTTTTTTTTTTTTTTTTTTGGGTATGTATATGCACACATGTGTGCCTGGTGTCTTTGGAGGCATGAAGGCATTGGATCCCCTGGAGCTGGAGCTATGTATACTTTTGAATGCTGTGTGGGTGCTGGGATTTTTGAGGCATCTCACTGCATAGTACAGACTGGCCAGGAACTCAGAATCCTACCTCAGCTTTCTGGGTTCTGGGATTACAGGCGTGTGCCATCATGACCAGCTTAACTTTGTAAATGGCGAGTTATAGCTCCACCATGTGCTTTGGTTTGGGAAGTTAGAGTGGTGCTTTAGCAAGATTCTCCTCAGGCTGGTTACCCTTTCAGAGATGATCAACATCAGGCCTTTTGACCCTCACTGGCCTAGCACCTTGTTCAAGCAGGAGTGTCCTTTTTGTCTGTCCAGGGACATCTGTCCCTTCTTCTCTTCCCACCATTGCCACTTATCCCTTGAAACAGTTTGTTGTTTTATGAAGAAAAGCGTTTCTATTCTTTTTATTAATTTTTTTTTCCTCCAAAATTAAGGCTGTGTTGCCTGTGTGATCCGTGCAAACCTGCAGTCAGCCTAACGTGAGAAGCTTGGTTGTCAGGTTGTCTGTTAGAAATGCTCTTTTGGTTGAAAGTATTCCCTGCTTTTCTTCTTTTTTCTTATCCTTGCTTTTCTTCTCGATATTTGCAACTACATCTTTAGAACTGCATTGACTAATTCAGAGGTATTTCTTCTAAAGGGCATTTTATTAGTAATGCTTAGTGTACTGGTTCTTGCCAGGAAATGTTTTTCCTATCAGGGTCAGAGTGGGAGTTGAATTCATTGTATACAGTCACTAAGCATGAGACAGTCTTGCTTGAGTCTAAGTTTAATTTTGGGCTTTTCAGTCAGCACTTTACCCCCATTCTTACTTCAAATTGAAAAGTTTTAAGAAAGTTAAAACTGTCCTCTTATTTTCAGCCATCATTGACGAACATCTGCCCTTACAGCGACTGACACGATTTCCACCCAAGACAGAGGCTGTTGGATTTTTACTCTTAGTTCCTTACATTTGTGCTTATGGTTTTAGCGGTTGTATATGTTAGGTGTATAGCTATGTGAACATACGTGAGCTAGTCTCCCACAGACTGCCCTAGACCCATGGCAGGAATCAGACTTTTGAGTGGTATGTATCCATGTGCCCTGTTTTGACACTGCAACGTGGGGGAACTGTTCAGAGAGACCAGGGCCCAGCGTGCCCGCCTGCAGCAGGGGAACCTCAGTAGCGGCTTTCCTCCAACAGGAAGTAAGCTGCTCTGGTCTCCAAGTTCGTTTATTTCACTTTCATTTGTAGTAGGATCCTCCTGTTCTTCTGTTACTTCCTAGGGAAGACCTCATCCCTTGCAATTATCCTTTTTCGTAGGAAGAACCAATTTTAATTAATCATTTAATTACTTTCTCATGCAGCTTTTCAGTTAACCCATCAGCAAAATACAGCTCCTAACACCTGAATCTTAATAGCCCAGAGAAATATTTATTAAAGTGATTCACTGAAAGAAAGGTAGTGTGCTTATTTATATACCACAATATATCACAGAATTAGAAGCAGTTGTATATTTAGTCTGCTCATGTAATTTTTAAACTTGATTACAAACCAAATATGGTGTCACACGCCTGTAATCTCAGCACTTGAGAGGTGGAATCAGAAGGCTCAGTAGTTCAAGGTCACCCTTGGCTACACAGTTCAAGGCCCACCTAGGCTACATGAGCCCCTGTCTCAAAAATGCAAGAACAACCAAAATACTGGATTATAGTTCATGGTCTGTGTCTCAACATCCCTACATAATCAGAAGTGTGGATGGCATTCTGTAGACCAGTCTAGCCCCAGTCTCACAGAAATCCAACTGCCTCTGCCCTCTGAGTGCTGAGATCAAAGTGCACACCACCACACCTGGCTAACTTTCATCCTTTAATGTTCATGCCCATGACTGCACAGTGCAGATTTTCCCTGTTTTATAGCATGAATGTTTGCAGTGTGTGCAGTTAATTCTAGATGACAGTCTAAACTATCCACCCCAAAAGAAAGTAATTGTTTCAGAGTTATAACAAAACAGCACTGTTCCTTTACGTATTTTCTTGCACAGTGGTGTTGAAGCTTGAGGAGCACAGTGTCTAGGACTTGTGGTGCACATCGTCTCCGTCAGCCCTCACTGCATTCTGGCAAGAGAGGTGCAAACGCTGCACTGACTTGACATGTGGTAAGGCTGAGGCGAAAGGCCTTCTCGCCAGTAGTCACGGCTCAGAGGTGGTTGATTCAGAATAGTGTGACCTCAGTCTCTGCACCGTAATCTGTGGGTGCTGCTGTTGGGCAAAGCTGTGTTCATCTGTCCTGGACCCACAGTCTGAAATCTGTATATTGGCCAATCTTTAACTTGCTTTATAGAATCAGATCTAGTGTGATTTTTGTGACAGGTTTTCTTCTCTCTCTATGTCCCTCCCTCCTTCCCCTCTCTCCCTCCTTCCCCTCTCTGTAGTATGTGAGCACATGGAGGGAGGCATGCACACACCATCAGGTATCCTGCTCTGTCACTCTTTGTCTTATTCTCATGAAACAGGGTCTGTCACTGAACGTGGAGCTAGGCTGGCAGCCAGCAAACCCAGCAAGCCTCCTGTCTCCACCCCTCACAAGCATTGAGGTTACAGGCAAGCATAACCTTGCCCGGCATTTTACATGGGTGCTTGGGATTCAAACTCAGGGCCTCATGGTTGTGCAGCAAGTGCTCTTTCCCACTGAGCCATCTCCCAGGTCCTAAGTTTTTCCCTTTCTAAAGTGATTCCTGGGGCTGGAGAGATGGCACAGTGGTTTAGAGTGCTTACTGCTCCTGCAGAGGGTCTTGATTTGGTTCCCAATACCCACACCAGGCAGCTCACAATTGCCTGTAACTCTAGTCCCAGGGGATAAAATGCCCTTTGGCCTCTGCAGGCACCTGCACACACATGATACATGGAAACTCATGCAGCCATACACACATATACATGAATAAGAAAAAGAATTAAAGTGACTCCTTAAAATCAAAACTGCCATTCTGTATAATAAGTTCACTTTTAAGATGCTGTGGTTGATATTAGCATGTGTTTTACAAATTTTAACATCCTCCCCTTGTCCTCCACATTTTGTGTGTGTGTGTGTGTATATATATATATGTATATATAATGTGTATATGTGCATGCACACACATAAAATAGAAGAACGTTTTAATTTCTTAGCCTAATGGCTTATTGAGGCAAACAATGATAGAAGTGAAAGAGAGTGAAAGAAAATTCCTCCTTTAACCCTTTTTTGTTTTTTAACCTCTAAGGAAACAGTCCATTCACCATTTGGTTCTCAAAAGGAAATAGCAGTGGTGTGATTTTGAGTTTCTCCTCAGAGGCTCAGGCAGTAGCAAGCTAACTCCAGCAGGGGAGAGGGCTGGCTTGTGTTTTCACTGAATGCTTTCCCTCCCCCGTCTTGATTTCAGGTGTCAGAAACTATTTGAAAGAAGCATTGGTGAATATAATTGCCGTGCATGCAGAGGTAAGCTGTCATTAGATGTTCCTAGGAATTATGGATAATTGGGGAAGAAGAAGAAAGGAGAGGCAAACTTGATTACAGTTTATGGTGGTCTTTTTTCCTCTTCAGAATGTATCTTGGGCATATAAGTACAATAGAACTCAGCTTTCATACATGTATGTGTGCGTGCTGAAGTATGAGTCTTTTCTTGAAATTGTATATGCCTTCTGCCATCATTAAAACTGAATTCAGTCATGAAGAGTGGGGAGAAGACAGGATGAAAGGATGCTTTTCCATTCAATATTAAACCCTTTGTCTTAGAAAACACTTGATCCTCTTTTTAGCCAGAATAAAGTGAGCTTTGCAGCAGCGTGGTGCCATGTAGTGGTGGGGACTGCAGAAAAACATGTCGGAAAGCAAACAGAACCATGCAGACACAGGATTTCTTGTGGGTTGTGTTGCTTATATGCAAACACATGTTCACACGGAAACAGTTCCCCGTGATCATTAGCATCTGAAGCCTCATGTTAACATCCTTACTGGACATCCTGGGGGTGGGCAACACTCTTCTGAGGCATCTTGAAAGACAAGCTGTCCCCATCTGAGCCCCTGCCACCACCATGCTCACCACTGCCAACGGTTTTCACTCAGCAATTTCACAGTTCATTACTCAGTGCTTTGCCAGCACTCTCAGGTGGATGTGCCCCACAGACTGATGGGAAGCCATAAAATAAGGTGAAGCAAAAACAGTTACCACTGTTGCTGAGGTCCCTTCTCAGCCATATGCATCCACACAGGTACATTTGGGTTTATGCAGCCTCCATTAAGAAGTTTTGGAGACAACCACAGTAACTGGAAAAAAGTATTTAAAAAAAGGAGGAGGAGGAGGAAGAGAGGGAGAGAAGAGGGAGAAGAAAGGGGGAGGAGGAGGAGAGGGAAGAGGAGGTGGGGGGAGGAAGAGGAGGAGGCTGCTAAAGGAGAAGACCAGAGCTACCAGATGGTGCTACTTGGATACTACATTGAAGCCACCAGAGCAAAAGGAATACATGTTACAGTTTCCATTTCTTCATAAAAGGCGAGATTGTAAGCAACTGTCCAAAAATGAAGTTCTTACGTGATTTAACTCAGGCAGGAATGTGTCACCTAGATAGATCTCTTTATGATGTGTGATTGTGCTGTGAATTTATTAAAAAATGTGACGTATTCTTGTTGTGTTAGCTTCTTTCAAGATTAAGGCATGAATGAACTGGTGGGTGGGTGGGAGCATCCTGTAGCCAGAGAGGCAGAGGAAATGCGGGGAGGAGGATTCTGAAGGATCACTCCATCCCATCCAGCAGGTTGGCCAACCAATAGCTATTATTAATAGCTGTAACATTATGTATTAGTATTGGCCTTTCAAGTCACCTTTTAATTTAGCCCAATGACTGAAAGTAGAATTTCATCTATAATGATTACCATTTGTGATAAGACCTTAAATTGTCAGAACTTTTCTTGAATATTCAAATTGTAGGTTGACACAAAGGTTTGCTTCACCCTAAGGATAAG